CAAGGCTATGGGTTCAGGTTTGATCCCAGCACGCGCACGCGCGCGCGCACACACACACACACACACACACACACTCAAAAAAAAAAAAAAGCCTGACCTATCAGTAAATCTGTAAATTTTCTGACACTTCTCCAATAGAGAGGCGGATCTATGACCCACCCCTTAATCTGCATATAAACAATAAAGACCAGTTGACCAGGCCTGCCATAGTGGTACACACCTATAATCCCAGCTACTGGGGAGGTTGAGGCAGGAGGATTACAAATTATAAACCAAGATGGGAAACTTAGCAAGACCATGTCTTTAAATTAAAAATAAAAAGGGCAAAGGGCCAGGCTTGGTGGCATATACCTGCAATCCTAGCGACTCTAGAGGCTGAGGCAGGAGGATATCAAGTTCAAAACAAACCTCAGCAACTTGGCGAAGCCTAAAAGAACTTATTGAGTCTCTGCCTCAAAATAAAAAATTTTAAAAAGTGGGCAGGGGATGTGACTCAGTGGTTAAGTACTCCTGGGTTCAGTACCAAACTAAATAAATAAACAGGACTAAGTACTCAGTGATAGAGCACTTGCCTAGAATGTAGTGTGGCCCTGGGTTAAATCTCCAGTATGGGGGTGAGGGGCCAGTTAACTAAATAAAGGAAGTGATGCTAGGTACCTTCTGCCACTGTAACTTCCAAGATTAGATACAGAAAGCACTCCAGCTTCTACCTGATTCTCTGGAACACCAGTGCGAGAGTCCTGAGTCATTGTGTACAACCTTCAAGGCTCCTATGCTGCAGTGAGACCAGGTGTAGGTGTGCTGGCCAACAGTTCCAGCTGAGCTAACATGGACTGCCTTAATGCATAAGACGCCTCCAGGTGTCCTAGCTATAGCATTACCCAAACTCTGAGCCTTCCCAGATGAGCTGCCAGTTACAGCAAATGGAGATGCATAATCATCTTGGCTATGCTCTTCCCAGATTCCTGACCCAAAGAATCTGAGAAGCATAACAAAATGTCTGCTTTAAGCCCATAGATTTTAGAGTTAATTTACAATGCAATAATAGATAACAAAGGAAAGAGATAATATGAATAGAGTCATTAGAGGATAGCATACTGTGGGAATTTTAAAAAACAGATTATATTCAAATAGGTGATTCAGAGCCACCAAAAATTCTAAAAAGAAAAAAAAAAAATGTAATGGAGCTTGAACCCAGGGGTGTTACCACTGAGCAACACCCCCATTCCTTAGAATTTTTTATTTTTAGACAGGGTCTTGCCAAGTTCCCCAAGATGGCCTCAAACTTATTCTCCTGCCTCAGCTTCTCAAATAGCTGAGGTTCCAGGTGTGTGCCAGCAGGGATTTGACCTTGACAGAAAGAAAACACAATGAGTAGGACACACTTTTATATAGCTTTCCCCCTGAGGAAGGCCATGACTCCACTCCTAGCCCAGGGAGTTACTGTGGTGCAGTGGCAATCTTATTGGCTTCAGATGTCAGAGGATGGAGTACACCAGAGCATCAGGAAATAGTTGGGCAAAACCTTCGAAAGAAACAGGTCAGAAGAGAGAACTCTACATACTTTAATATAAATTCCCTTTTACTTCCTAGCTAACACCTGAACAGCAGATGCATGGAGGAGACTGCAAGGAATCCAACAGGAAATTACAAAAAAAGCTAAATGGCTAAAAGAACTAAAAGGAGATTCCAGCTACTGCTCACCACAAACTCCATTTTGGAGTCTGAATCTCCACCAAGTGAGAGGGGATTAGTAAACACTCTGGGATTTCCAGATAAATCCTAACAAAGTACAAAATCAAGACTCCACAATTTCAAGCTGATGAGTCAATATTTTAAGTACCTGTTACAACAAAAAGCACTATGGACACATGTGATCAAGATATTCTGCAGATATATTAATGAAGTGTTAATAAAGAATTAAATATTAACTGACTAAGCAAGTACAAGGAAGGTCACCCTGAATTTAAGATAATAACTGAAGGTTAAAACAAAATGAAGGTCTGGGGCTGTAGTTCAGTGCTAGACCTCTTGCCCACCATGTGTGAGGCACTGGGTTCGATTCTTAGCATGGCATAGGAATAAATAAAATAAAAGTCTATCAAAACCTAAAAAAAAAAAAAAAAAAAAAATTAAAAAAAAAACAAAGTGAAATTCATTTTCTCTATATTAACCTATTATAAATAGTTCTAAAAGGAGGAAATATATAGCTATTTCCACATATGATTTATGAAATAAGCCACAGTCTCCTCCTCCCTCCAGGGCTTAAACTGGGTAGACATTTATGGAGGGGGGCAAAGGAACAGCAAAACAAACTTATGCAAATAGCTATGAAGGAAATGGCACAGAATCCTGAGAGAGAATAAAAGGAAGACCTATTTTAAAACGGGAGGTCAAGGAGAGCCTTTCTGAAGAGTTGAAATTTGCTAAAACTTAAAAACCTACTGAAATTTGAAAGCTGAGTAAAGTTAATCACATTAAGGAGATGCAAAACAAGGAGAGCTCTGGTTCTAGCAAGGAAGGATTAGTTGATTCCAAAGAGAGTCATGATAAGTGAAAAGTAAGTTAGTGGAGCAAGTGGATTGGAATAAAATTAGAGAAAGGTAAGCACCAGATTCCATTAAAGATTAATATGAATCTCATCAAGGATTTGGGGTTTCATCAGGTGTAAAGGGGAAATTAACTGAATAACATCAAGGAGAAGAGGATTAAGACACCAAGAGCCTAGGCACTAGAGTAAGCAATTAGGAGGGGAAAAGGCTACTGTACTAACAACACTCTAAACTGGGAAGATCAACCTCCATGAGGGTTTTATCATTGATGCTTACAAAAAGATAAACCTATTTTGTGACACAGTTTTGATTTAAGGAAAACTGGCAATACTAACCTGGTTCCCTGCCTTCAAGGAGAAACATGTATACAACATTTAGTATAAAATAATAGACCTTAGGAACTTAATGAAAGCAAAGATTACTTAGATAAAATTTACATGTTCAATAAGAGATCAAATGTTTAGGGCTAGGGTTGTGGCTCAGTGGTAGAGCACTTGTCTAGCATGTGTGAGGCACTGGGTTCAATCCTCAGCACTGCATATAAATAAAATAAAGGTCCATTGACAACTAAAAAAATATTTTTTAAAAAAGTTTAAATAGTTTGTTTAATGTAGGCTTAAAATTTGTTTTAGAAAAGACTTAATAAGGGACTGGTAAGGGACTGGACTATAGATCAGTGACAGAGTGCTTGCCTAGCATGTATGAGGCACTGGTTTGATCCTCAGCACCACATAAAAAATAAATTAATAAACAAGATACTGTGTGTCCCTCTACAACTAAATAAATATTAAGAAAAAAAAAAAAAAGATAGGGGCTGGGGTTGTGGCTCAACAGCAGAATGCTCGCCTAGCATGTGAAGGCACTGGGTTCCATCCTTAGCACCACATAAAAATAAATAAATAAAATCAAGTATTGTGTCCAACTACAATTAAAATAAATAAAATAAAGTTTAAAAAAAAAGATAACATTTAGGGGCTGAGATTGTAGCTCAGTGGTAGATCACTCACCTCGCATGTGAAGACCCTGGGTTCAATCCTTAGCACCACATAAAAATAAATAAGTGAAATAAAGGTACTGTGTCCAACTACAACTAAAAAATAAATATAAAAAAGATAACATTTAATAATATAAGGGTGGTAATGAATGATATTGAGAAAAAGATCATAAAAATTAAATTCATTTTCTATATATGAATCTATTATAAATAGTTCTAAAAGCAGGAAATATATAGCTATCTATTGCATTATTTTCTTTTTTTTTTTTTTTTTTTAGAGAGAGAGAGAGAGAGAGAGAGAGAATTTTTTAATATTTATTTTTTTTTTAGTTCTCGGAGGACACAACATCTTTGTATGTGGTGCTGAGGATCGAACCCGGGCCGCACGCATGCCAAGCGAGCGCGCCACCGCTTGAGCCACATCCCCAGCCCGCATTATTTTCTTTTTAGGAAAAAAAATTTTTTTTTTTTTAAGAGAGAGAGAGAGAGAATTTTAATACTTTATTTTTTAGTTATCGGCGGACACAACATCTTTGTTTGTATGTGGTGCTGAGGATCAAACCCAGGCCGCACGCATGCCAGGCAAGCGCGCTACCGCTTGAGCCACATCCCCAGCCCCTAGGAAAAAAATTAATAGTATTTATATATAAACACACAAACATATATATGTGTAAACACTGGGAAAATAAGGAAGGACAAACACCAGTACTTTCATGTTATTATATAAGTGACTGATAGGATCAGTGTTTCTTTTGCTTTTTGTTTGCATATTTTTGAAGTTTGCTATGCAAAACGTGAATTATGTTTTTTGGGGGAGAGGAGGGTACCAGGGATTGAATTCAGGGGCACTTGGCCACTGAGCCACATCCCCAGCCCTATTTTGTATCTTATTTAGAGACAGAGTCTCCCTGAGTTGCTTGGGGCCTTGTTTTTGCTGAGGCTGGCTTTGAACTTGTGACCCTCCTGCCTCAGCCTCCAGAGCTGCTGAGATTACAGGTGTGTGACACAGCACCTGGCTCATGAATTATGTTTTTGAAAAATACAAAGTTTTTAAAAGTTACCATAATTAACACAATGAACTAGGTGATTCTTCTCATCTGCAACCTGCCCAGAAGCCTCCCGTATGACGTAATACATCTACAATTGCTTTTTATAAACTTAAAAAGACTTTTATAGATCAAGGAAATTTTTTGTATGCTCTCTCACAAAACTGACTCTGACCAAGCAAAAAAGAAATTATTGAACTGGATCAGTGGTTGCTATCTTAAAAGATCCAAACTGCCTTGAAAGGCCCAAAGGCCCATGTGTCGAAAACTTGGTCCCCAGAATGTAGCTCTACTGGGAAGCGGTAAAACTTTTAGGAGGCAGTGAGAGGAAGTTAGGTCATTGGGAGGGGCATGTCCATGAAGGGGTTAGTAGAACCCCAGCTCTTCCTGTCTCTCTTTTGTTTCCTGGCTACCATGAAGTGAACAGCCTCCTCCTCCACTACCCACAATCACCATGATATACTTTGCTACCACAGGCCCAAAGCAACAGGGCCAAGCAACCATGAACTGGAACCTCTGAAACTGTGAGTCAAAATAAAACTTTCTTAAGTGATTATCTCAGGTTATTTTGTCAAGGTGATGGAAAGCTGACTAACACAGTGGTCTGACTCAAGTCTTATAATACATTAGACAGTAACTATCTCTATTTGTCAAGAGCCATCTTGGGCTATGTGTGGACCAAACCCACATCATAGTCAGTGAATAGGAAAATCTGGTATGTGGGAACCTCCAGTGACAATCCTGCTGGTTAAGACCACCCAGATACATGTGAATTTCCATTCAGCTCTGCCAGGTCCCACACAGCACCCCAGATAGGGTGACCTGCTGTAGCCACACAGCCTCTCAGAGATGGGTGTGGCCTGCCAAGATACCAATCAACCTGTTGACTGCAAGACATCATGAAGCAAGACTCCACCCCTGAAACCTTATCCCTGCCTTTGATGTACCCCCTTAAATAAGCCACCGGAGGGAGCCATTTTCTAATTGCTCTGTTCCAGCTCCTGTATGGACTGGAAGATCCTATCAGGTACTCCCTTAAATCTATAATTCTGACTTTGTCTTTTATTTCTTCCCTAATTACTTCAGACATTATTTTCTCAGGTGGCTTATCCCCTACTGAACAGGAAAAATTACCCTGATGAGGTGCTGCCTGCCCTGCAATATCTATTACTGAGAGCCAACACTTTACAAAAGGAAACACAAGTCCTTCTTAAAGGGCATTTTAAGTGATTCAACTGTCAGAATTCCACTTTCAAAAACTCAGTTTAGGGGGAAAAAAGAAACTTGCAAAAGGCAAGAAGAAAAAATAACCATTAATATACAAACATGGTCTGAGTAATCTTCTACGCATGAGAATCCTAAATAATATATCTAATTCATGTTATTTAATCAAACTTCTTTAATACCATATCTTTGTTCATTCATCTCTCACCATTAGTTGTTCAATGGTACTAGTATTGTAAGGCACTGAGTATAAAAAAATGAGTAAGATAGTCAATGCAGGATTAGAGTTGTGGCTCATGGTGGAGCACTTGCCTAGCATGTGTGAGGCACTGGGTTTAATTCTCAGCACCGCATATAAACAAATAAATAAAATAAAGGTCCATCAAGAACTTTAAAAATATTTTTTAAAAAAAGATAGTCACATAGAGAATAGTCAGAGATATTGTCAGAATAGCAAATAATTGTCTTATAATATGTGTATAATAGACACATATTATGTGCTATAATTTTTAAATTACAATAATAGAAAAAAAATTTTTTTGATTATTAGCAGGGCATGGTGGTACATTCCTGCAATACCAGTGACTCAGGAAGCTGAGGCAGAAAGATTACAAACTAGCCTGGGGGATTTAGCAAGACTATATCCCAAAACAGAAAATAAAAAGGAGCCAGGCATGGTAGTGCATACCTAAATCCCAGTGATTCAGGAACCTGAGACAGGAGGATGGCAGTTTAGCAAGGCCCTTAGCAACTTGGTGAGACCCCTCTCTTGAAATAAATACAGAAAGGGCTCAAAATGTAGCTCAGTGGTAAAATACCCCTGGGTTCAATCCCCAGAACCAAAATGAAATGAAATAAAATAAACTGGGCTGGGGACGTAGTTCAGCAGTAAAGAGCCCTGGGTTTGATCCCCAGTTCTGGGGGTGGGGGGTTAGAGAACACTACTTGCCAGTAAGAGTTGAAGAAAATTTGATAAGGAAAGAACTAATTGACTTGGGTTTTGAAGCATGAACAGGAGTTTGTCTGATAACAAAAAAATAAAATATGTGGAATTATATAGACCCAGAAGAATAGGATGGACTTTAACTGTGGAAAGTGATAATGACCTGTTTGGAAGCCTCCTCAAATCTGAACTCTATCCTCTTAAGTCAGGGCTTGGCAAACTTTTTCTATAAAGAACCAAATAGTTTACACATTAGGTTTTTGTTGGCCATATAATCTGTCACAACTATTCAACTCTGCTGTCATAGTGTGAAAGCGGCCATATGCGAAACATGAAGAAATGAGTGTGGCGTGTTCTAATAAAGCCTGCCTTTACAAAAATAGCAGAAGGCCAGAGCTGCCCACGGGTTACAGTTTGTGGATGCTTGCTCTGAGCAACAGGAAACCACCAAGGTCTACAAGCAAGGAAGTGACAGGATCAAATCTGTAATTCAGAAGAGAATTTTGGTGGCAGCAAGGAGGAACTGAAGAGGAATGTTTTTTTTTTTTTTTAAATATTTATTTATTTAATTTTTTTTTAGTTATCGGCAGACACAACATCTTTGTTGGTATGTGATGCTGAGGATCGAACCCGGGCCGCACGCATGCCAGACGAGCGCGCTACCTCTTGAGCCACATCCCCAGCCCCAAGAGGAATGTTAAAGAGACACTTGCCATAGTTCTGGACGGAGAGAAAATAAGAATGCAAACTGAGGACAAGTTGTACAAACTAAGGGAAATGCTTTAGAGAACTATTAAAGAAGTGTTAGCAATAGGCAGGAAGAAGTTAAAAAGACATTAGGTTTCTTGGTTAGGTGTCCAGAGGCTGGTGAAAGACCATTAATCAAAACAGGGACTGGAGGAACAAGGACTGAAATGGAATAAATCAAACACCATGCATGTATGATTTTCTGAATATGAACCCAACTACTATGTATAACTATAATGCTCTAATTGGGGGGGGGGGGGAAGTGGGGCAGGGGACTATTAAGAGGGAGAATGGGAGAGAGAGTTAGATGGGGAGTGATATAGTTGATATTAATGAAGGACATGCAGTATGGGGATGTACAGAGGACAACTGAAATTTGAAAGAGTGGTTTAAGGCAGAGATAAAGATTATAAATGTTCTCAATAGTAAGGCAATACCTGAAATCATGAAGGTAGCTAAGGTATCTCAAGGAGAAAAGGTAGAAGAGGACTGGGTTTCAAATCAGTGTTTACCTCTCAAAATTTCCTGTCTTCCTTGAATCAGTATGTGTCTAGCATGAGAGGAGACCTTCACAAACATTAAATCAGCAAAAGCTCCTCAAGAGCATGTTCTGGATATTGACAGAATATCTCCTATGGGCAAGGCACAGGGGGGAAATAAAGATTAATAAAACTTAGTCTTCGTCATCAGGGGATTTACATGCTAGTACAATAATCAGTTAACACTTTTTAAAATTAAATTATAATTTTTTCATTTAAAAATCTGTTACAAGGCTGGGGTTGTTGCTCAATGGTAGAATGTTTGCCTAGTATGTGTAAGGCACTGGGTTTGATACTCCACACCACATACAAATAAATAAATAAAGGTCCATCAACAACTAAAAACAATTTTAAAAACCTGTTACAAAAAATCAATGCAATAATAAAATAGAAAAATAATTCAAGATACTGGTCTACACAGCTACAGCAAAACAAATTTAATCAAACAACAAAAATAGAATCTAAGCCAGGCGTGTGGCACATGCCTGGGATCAGCACCTCGGCCGGCTGAGGCAGGAGGACCGTGAGTTCAAGGCCAGCCTCAACAAATGTGAGGTACCAAGCAACTCAGTGAGACCCTGTCTCTAAATACAAAAATGGACAGGGGATGTGGCTCAGTGGTTGAGTGCCCGAGTTCAAAACCCCCCACCCAAAAAAAAAAAAAAAAAAAACTATGATAAAATAGAATCTATATCTTCCCACTACTACTGTTACTACCACCAGCACTGACTATTAGTTATAGGTTGTTTACAGAAGCCAAGCTCTTTACAGGCTACTCCACTCTTCTTAGAAATATTCTTTACATGAGTATTCCTTAGTCAGTTATTATTATTATCTCACATTATTGAAAAGGTTTAGAGAATAGTTAGCTTGCCAAGGTCACACAGTTAGCAAGGGGAAAAGCAGGCTTTCCACTAAAGTTCACATGTGATTCCAAAATCTGTGCTCATGACTATAACACTCTATTGGCGTCCATCAGGTATAGTGTCACAGCATTTCTCTCATTTCAGATTTCATGGGGAGACAGTTACTGTCTTGCCTATGATGAAGATAGCAGAAGAACATGAACAAGAAAAGAAATATCCCCTATCTAAAGGAACACTGTAAGCACTTGGAAAGAGAAGACAGCAGTCTGCAATGACCTTGATGATTACTGCTGAATCAAACCTTGCCAGCAGAATCTGAAGAACACAGTTTTCTTCTTGAGTTAGGTATAAACCTAGTTTCTAAGCACTCCCAATGTGAATGTTTTATAGGTCTTAAAATCTAACAACATTAATTATTCAGAGACCTAAGTACTTTTTTAAAAAACATTTTACATATTTAATCTCAGGGAATGCTTACTTACCTACTGAATTGTAGATCACAAAAAAAAAATTAGCAAGCACCCCAATTTGTGTGAAAAATTTACATTGAAAATCAAAGTAAAAGATAGTGTGAATTTTTCAAGAGACTTTATTTTATAACTGCCCTCAGAAGTATCTTTTTTTTTTTAACAACTTTTAATTACTAAAAAAATGTAGATTATTTGGTGACTCCTCCCCTCCACTGTTTCTCAATGATTTATAACTTTAAACTCCCAGTCCCAGATTCATACATTTAACTGCCTGTTTGACATCTTGTCTGTCTCAAAATCATCTTAAAATCAATGTGTCTAAACCTGAGTTCAATTCTCTTCCAAACATGACCCTACTCCGGCTTCTCTACAATGAATGAACCACCATTCACTCTGTTACACAAGCTAGAAACCCAGGCATCTTCCTTGCTATTTCTCTCTCAACTCTCACATCCAATCTACCACCTGATACGTCCTAAATATTTCTGGAGTATAATTTAATTTCTGTCCATCTCCACCACCACCATGACCTGAGTACTATTCTCTCTCATCTGTCCTATTACAATAGCCTCCCAACTGACCTATCCATGTGCACTGCTGCCCTCATCAATCAGTCCTCCATACTACAGCTAGAATGACTTTTTATAAAATAGAACAAATCTGGTTATCTTCCTCCCGCTTAAAATATTTAATTGTCTTCTCATCTGACTTAACATAAAGACAAAACTCCATAGAGTTTTGTCCTTCCTCATAATAAATTTTCTCTTTCCTCTAGTTAGTAACACTGGTTTCTCTTAATGCCTCATAATTGCCAAATCACCCCATCTAAAACCCATGCCCTCTGTTTGATACCCTTCCATCCCCAGCTCACCTAATTAACTTTCACTCATATGTAAATGACAGCTGAGAAGTCCATTTTCAGCAAATACCAGTTTTCTCTTCATTCACTCAACATCTATTCAGGGTGCCTAGAACATGTCAGGCACTGTTCTCGGCACTTAAGGTTCATCAATGAACAGACATAAAGCACTGGCTTTAAGGAACTTATTAAGAAGGAGAAAGAGAGAAAACATAATAAATAAATTATAGATCATGTGAGCAGGTGATTAATGCCACTGGTATGGGAGCGGGGCAGGGACAGAGCAGAGTAAGGGGGACTGGATGTACAGTGGTAGAGTGGACAGTTGAAAAGCCAAACTGGCAGCCAAGGAAGGTCCCATTGAGAAAATAACACCGGAGCCAAGATCTGAAGGTGAGGAGGGAGTTAGTCCTATCAAGATCTGCAGAGAATAAATGCCAGGGCAAGAGCCCTAAGGTCATAGTGCCTGGTTAGGCAAAGAACAACAGGGAAACCAGTGTGGCTGAGATGAGTCAATGAGAGGAAAAAGTAGAAGAAAATGAGATCAGAGAGGTCACAGATCATTACAGAGCCTTGCAGGCCACTGTGAGAACTCTGGTGTTTACTGACTAAAATAAGGAGTCATAAGGTTCTGAGCAGAGCACTTACATTTAAAATAATCCCTTTGGCTGTTGTGGGAAGAACAGACTCTAGGGGGAAGAGTGGAAAGAGAAAGACCAGTTAAGAGACTACTGAAATTATCCAAGTGAAAGAAGATACTGATTTCCATGACCTCTGATTCCATGAGAAGATGGACTCCCCTTCTATCATTTCATTCTTAATTTTATTATTTAACACCTACCTCCCCATGGAGAATAGTCCAACTCCATTACTACTCACATATTTTCCCAGAGCCTCCCACAGTACCTGACATAAAGTAGGTATTGAATGACTGAGTCTATTAAAATTTTCAGAGTGAAATGCAATACATGCCTTATTCTATGACAGAAATAAAGTCCACTTTATCACTAAGCTTTTTAAACTAACAATTTACATGTACAAGTACGATTTGTCAATTAAAAATAATAAATAAGGGCTGGGATTGTGGCTCAAGCGGTAGCGCGCTCGCCTGGCATGCGTGCGGCCCGGGTTAGATCCTCAGCACCACATACAAAAACAAAGATGTTGTGTCCACCAAAAACTAAAAAATAAATATTAAAAAATTATCTCTCTCTTAAAAAATAATAATAATAATAAATAAGCTGATGGTGAAAAAAAAATGACTCTAACAGGAAAAGAACAATATTATGCCATAGTGTCCAATTCCAATTTAACAAACTGATAAAATGGCTTAAATCCTTTTTTGGCCTAAAATTTGGTTACTTAAATAAGGGAGTCTGTTTTTACATAAAAGAATTTTCCCTCAGCTGGGTACAGTGGCACATGCCTATAATTCCAGCAACTGGGGAAACTGAGGCAGGAGAGTCACAAGTTCAAGGCCAACCTCATCAACTTAGTGAGACCCTGTCTAAAAATTAAAAAACACAAGGGCTAATAATGTAGCTCAGTTGCAAATACACCTAGGTTCAGTCCCCATACCCAATCATCATCATCATCATCAATAAACTGACCACTTATAAAAACTGGAGATAAAAAACATCATTTTGGTGACAAAAAAAAATTGCTGTGACACTATACTCAAACACTTTATTTCTTAAAATCATCCTCCCTGCTTCCAAGTCTATATGTTACCAGAATTTTCTCTCTAAATCTCAAATTGGATCATGCATCCATGCAAAATTTGCCACAGCCTATAAGCTAAAGTCTAATATAATATAAACAGAGTACTTAATATTCTTCCCTTAATATGATGTTCCTAACTCCCACTACTTCGACATACTCTCTACTGCAATCATAAAGAAATAGTAGGGAAAAGGCACACTATTTGTTGAATATCTACTTTTAGTGAAGCAAACTGCGAAATACCTTATATACATAAATATGTATTTTCAAAATATATTTTACACACAGACACACACACAGAGCTCCCCTTCCTTGGAATGCCCCTTTCATTTTGTATCTATAGGCAAACTTCCAATTCAACCTTTAGGACTCATCAAATCACAGGCATCATAGCTTTAATGCTTTGAAGGGTGGTTTTCTGAGGGGTTTTTGTTCATTTATTCATTTATTTTAAAAATTGTACAGTCATGGGCTGGGGATGTGGCTCAAGTGGTAGCGCGCTCATCTGGCATGCATGCGGCCCGGGTTCGATCCTCAGCACCACATTCCAACAATAAAAATTGTACAGTCATCATATTGCAAAGTAATATGTGTATGTTCAACAAAGAGAACTCAAACACTTGGGGGGGGGGGGAATGAACATGGGAAGCCCTGCTTCTAGTCCTGACTCTGACATTTGCTAACTGTGCAACACTGCCTGACCAGGGGTTGCTCTAAACCAGTTGTCCCCATATAGGCCCATGGACCACTGCACCAGGCTATCTTTACATTCATGAGCAAAATTTTAAGTGAAAGAAAAAAAAAGGTGTGTGTGTGTGTTGGGGGCAGGGGGTAAATGGAACTCTCCCTTAAAAGATCAGAAAGTCAGGAATAAGAACAAAACTCCATATTTTTAAATTTCCCAATTTGGAAAATTCCCCTCATTAATGATCAGCAAAGTACAGTAATTATTGCACCAAATTACCTCCAGGTTCCCTTTCATTGTTAAGACTCGAAGCATGGGTATCTCTCCGGTAATAGAGCAATCTCCAAGAGCAATATGAGGTAGAAACTTCAAAGGATTTCATCATTAATTTCATGTAGTCAAAAACACACTATTAATAAAATGAAATGTGTAAACCTTGACTGATCATGGTTCAACAAAAATTATTTTAAAGGCAGTCTTCAGTCAATGAGGGAAATCTGAGCACAGGTCAGACATCAGAGAATACTACAGAACTATTTCCTTGGATGTAATAATGGTAGAACTGTGAGTTTGTAAAGAAAATTGCTTTGTTTATAAATTTATTGCTATGTCTGAATGTTGGTATGCCCCCAAATTTCAAATATGAAGATCCTAACCCTCACCCAGGGTGATGGTATTGGGAGATGGGGGCCTTTGGGAGTGATTAGGTCAGAAGGGTAGAGCCCTCATACGTCGAATTAGTGTCTTAAAAAAAAAGAGGCCCACCAAGAGATCCTTTCAAGCTTCCATCACATGAGGATACAATCAGATGGCTTTGTCTATGAACCAGCCAGCCTTCACCAGACACCAAATGTTCCAGCACCTTGATCTTGGACTTCCCAGTCTTCCGAACTATAAAAAGTAAATTTGTTACTTATAAGTTACCCAGTTTATGGTATCGTGTTATAGCAGCCCAAATGGACTAAGTCAGAAAGCCAAAAAGTGGAAATGGTTGTAACACTTAAAAATGTGAAGGCAGCTTTGGAAATGGGTAAGAGGTAAGGCTAAAAGTTTGGAGTTGCATGCTGGAAAAAGGTTACCTTGTCACAATGAACCATTCTGTGACTAGTGAAAGCTCAGAAGGAAGAGGAGTGTTGCAACAGAGCCTCAATTTTCTGCAGTGGGAAAAGGGGTTATGAACAGAAGGTTGGCAGAAATATGGACAGTAGGACCATTCCATTGATATCTCGGACAGAGATGAGAAACCTATCATGGGACAATAAAGGAAAGGCAATCATTACTACAAAGTATCAAAGAACTTGGTTTGCCAGATACACTGGCACACACCTATAATCCCAGTGGCTAGGGAGGCTGAGGCAGGAGGATCACCAGTTCAAAGCCAGCCTCAGCAACAGCAAGGTACTAAACAACTCAGTGAGACCCTGTCTCTAAATAAAATACAAAATAGGGCTGGGGCTGGGGCTCAGTGGTCGAGTACCACTGAGTTCAATTCCCAGTACCAAAAAAAAAAAAAAAAAAAAAAAGAACTTGGTTAAATTATGTTTTTATTTTAGTCTTTCATGGAAGGTAAAGGTTGTGAGTATTTGACTAAGAAAAATGTTATTTTGTTTTGCTAAAACAGATTCTTGCTATGTTGTCCAGGCTGCCATCAAACTTCTGGGCTCAAAAAAATCCTCCTGCTTCAGCCTCCTGAGTACCTGGGACAGAGGGAGCTGGCTTAAAATTTCTAAGTAATGTTGACAACGTGACTTGGTGTCTCTGGTGTGCTTATACTAAAATGTACAAAGACAAAGATAACTTAAAAATGGAATTGTTAACCAAAAAACAAGCAGAACTTAAAAACAGAAAATTTTCTCAGCCTATCCATACAGAAAAAAATTAGTAAGAGAAAACAAAGGTGTGGTCAAGTGACCATCAGATAAGGAGATTAGTACAGAGCAGTCATCTCAGTGGAAGCCAGGTGTTATTCACCAAGACATCAAGAAGAACCTCAAAGGTAACTGAGAAATCATCAGGACTGCCACGCCATTACAGACCCCAAATTCAAAAGCTGTAGCAAGGAGTAAATCACGCATGCTGACAATGTCAGCAACATTCTATCACACAGTTTAGGAAAATAATAATAATGTAAACCAAATGTGGTAAGATATTAACAATGTCAAAGTTACTGTTCTTTCATTAAACTTCTCCGAATGTTTCAATGTTTTGTTTTATTTTTTAATAAAAAGGTAGGAGGGGGCTGGGGTTGTGGCTCAGCGGTAGAGTGCTGGCCTCCCACATGTAAGGTCCTAGGTTCGATCCTCAGCACCACATAAAAATAAATAAATAAATAAATAAAATAAAGGTATTGTGTCCAACTACCATTAAAAAAATAAAATAAAATAAAAGGAAAAAGGTAGGGGAAAAAAAACAGAATTACCACAGCAATGCAGATGACTACTATATAATCCAAGAGCTGATCCAGCCATAGCAAAATTATTCAAATTATTCACCAAGGACATCCTTTCCTGACTCCCCAGGTGGAGCTCTGCTTAGTCATCTTTGCATCCTCTGGAGTTGCTTAGTTCAGAGAAACTGGTTCCAGGTTTACAGTTTTTAACCCACATAGGCAAAAGGGAACCCTACTGGGGAGTAGTACTGGGAAAGCAAAGTCATTAAGATGGATTCAGAAAAGATCTACAGGAGGAATATTTCTAAAGAGCTCAAAGAAACGAACACCTTCAGGAAGCTAAAAGCATGATCCTTACAGTTGATGCCAACCTAGGCTCACTGCTACCCACAGCCTCCTTCCCTGTTGTGCCTACTTGGACAGGTTTATTCATCCACTCCATTCTTCCTGGACTAACCATGTGCCAGGAACTATTCAAGCTTCAAAGGTCCCCCAGGCTAAGGTCTTCTGGTATATAAACTGGAGTAATGGTCACATGCCCCTCAGAAAGTGAAAATTAATGAGAACAGAGAGCACATGTGGGCACTGTATCCTGTCAGTCAAGCACAAAAGCCACATACAGACATATGATTGCTTTGTAGAAGGCATTCTATTCCTGACAGCATTACCAGAACTCTGAAGAAAAACCTGTACGATTTCTGGTTGAACATGGTACATTACATATACGCATCTCATTTTTGCTCACTCCTGAAACCGCACTAAAACTACAGTAAAGGGAGTTTAAAAAAAAAAAAAAAAAATCAACTCCTGCTGGCACAGTGGTGCACACCTACAATCCCAGCAACTCAGGAGGCTAAGGCAAGAGGATCACAAGTTTGAGGCCAGCCTCAGCAACTTGGCAACTTCTCCTTCTCTCTTCATAGAGTTGGCAACTGACAAGTGGGGGTTTTTTCTTATTTCTTGTATTCTGGACTGGGAAATACCAGATCCAACAGACAATGCAGGTATCACATTGACAATTAGACATAAGGGACTATATGCTAAATGGAGACAGTCTCAGCCTCTGTCTGCTCAGGAGACTGGCAGCCAGATCCTCTCCCTCCAACCAGCCAAGGAAATGCTTCCCTTGAGAATGTGACGACCTTAAGAAACAGGGTATAAACATACTGGTAACAGGGTTTCCTTAACCTATCACCAAGCCAGATCACTGCAGTGAAACACACAGCTAAAAAGCCTCATCTATTCCCTCAGAGCTGGCTATCACCTCTTTAGTCCCCTATTCTTATTCAAACAGAGTCAAGAATTACTGTGCACCTAAGGAAACCTTTAATACATGAGACACGCAGAGGAAAAAAAGCAGCTTGGGAACCAGGAGCTATTGCAGGCCTGTAATCCCAGCTACTCAGAAGCCTAAGGTAGGAGGGTGGCAAATTCAAGACCAATCTGGGTAACATAGAGACCTTATCTCAAAATAAAAAATAAATAAATTAAATCCTAGCAGCTTTGGAGGCTGAGGCAGGAGAACCGCAAGTTCAAAGCCAGCCTCAGCAACTCAATGAGGCCCTAAGCAATTTAGCAAGACCCTGTCTCAAAATAAAAATTAAAAGGGGGGCTGTGGCTATGGCTTAGTGGTAGAGCACTTGCCTGGCATGGGTTCAATTCTCAGCACTGCATATAAATAAATAAAATAAAGGTCTATCAACAACTAGAAAAATGTTTAAAAAAAATAAAAAGAGTTAGGAATGTGGCTCAGTGGTTAAATGCCCCAGGTTCAATCTCTGGTACAATAAATAAATAAATGGGACTAAGGATATAGCTCAGTAATAAAGAGCCCCTGGGATCAATCCCTAGGAATGATTAAAAAATAATAATAATAATAAAGCAGCTTGGAACAAATCATGCAGGAAGAGAAAACTTAAATAACTCTAACCTCAGGGAAAAGAAACAATGTTATCCTAAGAAACACTGAGACTAAAAACAATACCTTTGGAATTTAAAAACAAGACAGTGCAAACTTTTTTTAAAATCCAAATAGAAAGAGAAAATAAGAGTTAAGAAAATACAGCAGTAGGGCTGGAATTGTGGCTCAGTGGTAGAACGCTCGCCTAGCACAGGCGGGACCCGGGTTCGATCCTCAGCACCACAAAAAAATAAAGGCATTGTGTTGTGTCCATCTATACCTAAAAATAAATAAATATTAAAAAAAAGAAAGAAAATACAGCAGTAAATAGAGAAAAAAAAACAGGTTAAGAAATTAGAAGACTATTACAAAAAGCTCACATATAAATGACAAAGTACAAATTTTTTAAAAAATGGAAAAAAAAACAAAATAAAATAAATGACAAAGTATTTCCAAAGAGAAAATACAAGGAAAAAAAATAATCAACAAAATATTTCAAAGAATGTTTCCCCAGAAGAGGTGGTCTATTTCCAGTATTTAAAGGGTCCATTGAATATATATCTCACCTAATGGATGAAAAGAGACCCATGCATCATTTTAAGTTTCAAAACACAGACATCAAGGCACTGAGCCCAGTTGTAATCCCAGTGGCTCAGGAGGCTAAGGCAGGAGGATCCTGAAGTTCAAAGCAGACTCAGCATTTAGTGAGGCGCTAAGCAATTCAGTAAGACCCTATCTCTAATAAGATACAATATAGGACTAGGGATATGACTCAGTAGTTGAGTGCCGCTGAGTTCAATCCCCAGGTACGTGTACACACACACACACACACACACACAGACGTGAATATCAAAATGTGGATTCTATACAGGAAAAACAAAAACAAAAATGAGTCACAAAGGATTCAGGAATAATACTGGCTTGGAATTCTCAACAGCAACCTAGAAGCAATATTACAACCAAGCAATAACTTCAAAACTCTGGAGAAAAATTACTACCACCAAAATTTTTTTTGCCCTCCAAAATATCAATCAAGTATGAGGATAGATCAAATCATATTCTGCGATGCAAAGGTGCCAAAATATGTAACTTCTTGTCAAGATGCTGGTAGAGTTTGAGCTCTACTAGAGAGAGTAAATCAATAAAAAATAAATAAAACTTAAAAATACAGGACACAGGAAGACCCAACACAGGAGGGCTAAAGAGAATCCCAGCTGTGCCCCAGAATCAGAGAATAATCAGGTCAGAAGGAAGCAGTGCAATGTCCTGGCTGCTATGGCAGCTTTTAACCTGAGGACTGCATGCCCCTGAACATGGCCCAGATTCCTGTCTGAACTGGGCAGGGTTGGCTTGATCTTGAGCACATGCTAATGCAGTTCCTCCTTTCCTGCAGCCTACAAGCTGCACCAGCAATGGCCAGTCACTTCCCCCCACACAGGTGCAGTTTGACTAGCCCTGATAACTCAGGTAGGCCATGGTGAGCTATAAAACAATTGCAGAGCAGACTACTCCTTCTGCTGTCCTTCCATTACTTGGTCCACACTAGAGTACTCCAGATGCCCTGATTGGGGTGAACTCTGTTTCCTAGGACTCCCTCATAATTCAACCCCAACTTCCTCAGAAAGTGCCCCTATAAGTCAGGGAAGCTGAAGCCATTCTCTTCAGCTCATTCTTTTCTTTCATCTAATAATGACAATACTGTTCCCTCAGTCAAGTTTGAATTTATTATTATAAATCAAAAATTTAACCCCAAATTTAGGAAGCTATACCATTTTCTAATAAGCCTGATTGGACTTCATTTGTACTCTGGGAAATTTTAACTTTGTTATCATAGTTTGTTTAATGAACAATCCACTATTAATAACTCTAACCTCCCTGCAGAAATTAACCAGCTATTATGATTTTATAGCCTGGTGGAGAAAATTGATCCCAAAACATTGTGATTTTGTTGCCCTGTAGAACATTAACCTGTTATATCTAATTAGTAATTCTATGGACATTCCTTTCCCAAGGGACTTAATATTTATTCCTTTAATCCTCTTAAAACCACCTCTTAAATTTAACTCTTAGTAACAGCTAAATTAAATTTTGAAACATGCTCATAATGAGAGTTTTTTTTTAACACTATTCATTCAAAACTAAGTATATACCAGGTGCATTGGCATATGTCTATAATCCCAGTGGCTCGGGAAACTGATGCAGGAGGATTACAAGTTCAAAGCCAGTCTCAGCAACTTAATGAGGCACTTAACAATTCAGCCAGACCCTCTCTCTAATATAAAAAAAAAAAGGGGGGCTGAGGATGTGGCTCAGTGGTTAAGCACCCCTGGATTCAACCCCCCAGAACCAAAAAAAAAAAAACTATACTATTTAGAATATACATGGATGTATGCATGTGCATTTATGTATACATAATACATGCACATTTATGTATATATGAATATAAGCATGTGCATTTACATATATGTATATATGTAAAACATATTAAAAAACAAGAAAGATTAACACAAAAATCAGGATAGAGGCTACCTCTGAAGAAAAATGCAAATGTTTTCTCTTTAATATGATAGCAGATATAATGGTGATCAGTGCAAAAGTGTTTTTATAATTATATACATTTTAGTACTTGAAATACATTTTCCAATAAACAAATGTATTTTTTTAAATTTTTTTAATATTTATTTTTTAGTTTTCGGCGGGCACAACATCTTTGTTTGTATGTGGTTCTGAGGATTGAACCTGGGCTGCACACATTGCCAGGCGAACGCGCTACCGCTTGAGCCACATCCCCAGCCCAACAAATGTATTTTTAAAAAGAACAATTATTTCTGTTATTGTTAGCAATTGAAGAAGATTGCCACAAGATACATGTACACAAAATGTCAGTTCACATTTTCCCTCCCTGAAAGACC